ATACGGGATTCTGCTTTGTAAAGTCAGTCAGTGATCAAGAGACAGCACGTTGAGAAAAAAATGTATCTGGTAAGCCTAAAGACTCTTTGGCTAACCTAGGTCTGACAGTTACTCAAGAGACAAATAGTCTTCTTAAATGTTAATTTGAAGCTATAGTAAATGGGAGGTTTGATCACTCAGTATGTGCAATCTTTGATATAACAGTGGTGGAACATGTTGTTTTCCTAACTGGGAGACATCTGTTAGGAGATTAGGGTTAAATCATGTGTGCAAAAGAATGATGTTTCTTATTTCTGAAATGTATTACTGCACTGAACATTGTTTCTGTAAAATCCTCATGAAACAAGATGAGCAGTACTGCTCATAGGAGTGTAGCATGTGAAATTTGCAGGCGCGCAAGGCCTTTAGAGTACAGTGTCATCACTAAGGTCATATCATGTGCTGGACCCTTAGATCAGCAACAAATTGTTGTTGTCATTTCCCCTTGCGCTTTGAATCTGAGCTCTTCCAGTGAATGCCTCTTCATTGTAAGACATTCTCCTCTGATGGGTGATTTTGACAGCGATTATCATTCACTTGTCTGTTGCTGCTACCGGTATGTTCATAACAAATTCTGCCACAGCCCTCCCCCCCCACACATACACACCAAAGCAGGTTTTCTGCTTTCTGTGCCAAGGCAGGTGTTTCAAGTTCAGTTCACCCACTGGGATATAGTTAACTCTTCAGGCTCAATGATATAGATGTGTTTTTAGTATTCTTTCGGTCTGTAAAGAAGTACTTACAGTACAGTATGTCCTTTAAGATGTTGAGGCAGGTCTTTCAAGAGCTATTTCCAGTTAATGTTTCTTTATTAGCCCTATACAATTTCTTGCATTAGGAATGTGTCTTTTAAGTAGTTAAGTAGTAGATATATTTTAAATATGTTTTGCTCACACCCGAAGAAAGCTCCACAGCCGAAACGTTATGTTTCCTTTCTTCTCTTTTCAGCATGGAATAAACCTTTTACTTGTTCCATATTTTTCAATGTTTTTGATGATTCTTAGTCTTCTATAACAAAGCACAGCTGGGTTATAAAGCTTTAGAGCAGAACAGTAGTCCTTTAAGAAACACAACGTTTCGGCTGTGGAGCCTTCTTCTTCACATCCGAAGAAGGCTCCACAGCCGAAACATTGTGCTTCTTTTCTTCTCTTTTCAGCATGGAATAAACCTTTACTTGTTCCTTTGCAACTTATGCATGCTGATGCAACTATCTACTGTACATGAATATTAAAATACTGTCTTTGACTAAAGCTTCGCAATGTTAATGCTACTTAGATGGTTAAGTCCAGAAAGTCTTTGTTGCAGTACATCATTATGTGTTGCCATTAGCTTTGAGAACACACCTTTATTAGTGAATTGCTATAATTATAAATCAGACCTTTAGATTAGAAAAGACCTTTATGTTGTATACAACATTCTAAAAAGGAATATAATACTGTTGTGGAATGAATGGGGCACTGGTGAGGAGCTGACATTTATAGAAGGTCGTGTTTTATAAGGGATTTCCTTGGGGAAGAATGTCTGTGCTTTGGATTGCCCAAAGCCCCTGACATACACAGGAAATTGCTGCTATTGGGGCTATTGTTTCTGTTCCAAAGAATGTCATCAAGCAGAATCCTGCAAACACAAAGTTTGAGCACCCTCAGAGTTCCAGACATGTTTACAAGTAGCACAAATAATTTAATATATACAGTGCAGTGAAACCTTTTCGATTTGATTACGACTGTGATGTGTAAACAGGAGAAATAAATGGCAGTAGTTTGGGAAATGTTGGCTGGCATTTTTAGCCAATAAAGAAGTTGGTCTGAAGAGGGGTGGACAGTGATTTTGTAATTTATTGCTCACAAAAAACATCAGAAATTCCTTGATAAAAGTGTCGGCTGCATTATTTGATATTGCAGATTAAAGTAAAGTCAGGTTTATGATTAACATGTATTGCACGTTTTTGATTGAAAAAGGTGAGCCAAGCTGCAGTTTACATTTTTGATGAAAAGTACTCATTTATTTCTATCCTATCTAAGGCATAGGGCAGGCGTGTTGCACTAAATAATGGTGCAATCCAACAGCAGATGATGTTTGCCTAACGTTGTTGAAACTTTCTGAAATGTTCTTGACCAAAACTGATAATTAACAAAGCAGATTTAATTTTTTTCCTTTATTTCAGTATATTATGTCCTTATGGGCAGCATGTTGGCATAGTGGTTAGTATTGCTGCCTCACAGCACTGAGGCCCTGGGTTCAATTGCAGATCTGGAGTGCTGTCTGCGTGGATTTTGTATGTCCTTCCCATGTTCATGTGGGTTTCTTCCTTTTGCTCTGGTTTCCTGCCCCAGTCCAAAGGCATATTTTTTTCAAGAGACAAAACTGGTTTGACTTTTTATTCATTCAAAAAAAGAAAACATGCCTTGATACCGTAATACCACAGATACAATAACATACAAATATATACAGATAATTGTCATTCGCTTAGCTGGACATTACAGAGATCTGACACAAGAAGGTAGAGATAGATAGATAGATAACTTTATTGATCCCGTGAGGGAAATTGCAGTGCAACAGCAGCTTAACACACACAACACAGCCACAGTGTAACGAATTATATACTAATAGTACAATACATACAATACAATACAATACAATACAAGAGTTACTCACAGTCCGGACACACAAGAGGAAACTAGAACAGAACAGTACACAGAAAATCGTATCACACGTATGAATATAAATATAGATGTAACCATAGATATAAATATAAATATAAATGTATTGCACAGGTCCCTGGCATATATTGCACAAAAGTGGTTGTAAACGGGAAAAAGAAAAAGAAAGAGAACAGATGTAGCAGTAGATGTGTATATGCGTTTAGTCCAGAAACAGGTCACTGTCGCTGTTGCCTCTGCCAAGACGCAAGGTGGATGCGTTGTACAGTCTTATGGCAGACGGCAAGAATGACCTCCTGTAGCGCTCCCTGTCGCACCGTGGATGAATCAGTCTATTGCTGAACGTGCTCTTCATTCCTGCAAGCCTGTCATAGAGGGGATGGGAGAAGTTGTCCATGATGGCCTCTAGTTTGGACATCATTCTCCTCTCAGCCACTACCTCCAAGGGGTCCAGGTCAGACCCAATGACAGAGCTCGCTCTCCTGATGAGCTTGTTCAGCCTTTTGGAATCTACTGCTCTAATCCCAGAGCCCCAGCACACCACTGCGTAGAAAATGGCACTCGCTACCACCGACTGATAAAACATGTGCAGCATCTTACTACACACATTGAAGGACCTGAGCCTCCGCAAGAAGTAAAGTCGGCTCTGTCCGTTTTTATAGATGGTCTCGATGTTCTTAGACCATTCCAGTCTATCGTCGATGTGCACTCCCAGGTACTTGTACGAGTCCACCATCTCCTCGCCACTCCCATGGATGTAGACAGTAGTAGGTTTGACCTTTTTCCTCCTGAAATCTACCACCAGTTCCTTTGTCTTTGTAACATTCAGTTCCAAGTGGTTCACCCCACACCACTCCACAAAGCTGCTGACCAGTCCTCTGTACTCCTCCTCCTGCTCACCCTTGATACATCCCACAATTGCAGAGTCATCTGAGAACTTTTGCAGGTGGCATGACTTTGAGTTAAACATTCTAGGGATTAAGTGTGGTGGAAAAGCATGTATTTTGGTAGAGGTAGAGATGACAGATGTAACCATTTAAAATACCTGCTTTTCCACCACACTTAATCCCTAGAATGTTTATTTGAATTGCAGCATATTATTTTGATGGCTAGGATGTTTTATTGCCGTGAATGAACTGTAGGTTAGTTGGTTTGTGGGAAGATTGATCCTGGTGTGAGTGTGTGGATGTTTGTGTCTGCTTCTATCTTGTGACGGACTAGCGTCCCACCCAGGATGTATCTTGACTTGCGTCCGTTGTTTGCCGAGATTGGCTTCATTCGAAAGTGGATTGATAGATGTCCCTTTGATGTTTTAAGGTGCGATCAGGAATTGGAAGTGTCACGGATGTCGGAAGGGACGAACCGTGGAATGGCAGGAGAGCGATAAAGACCCTATGCGTAGTGGCGAGACGGGGCTCAGCTGTTCAGGAAATGCTATATAGAAACCTATGCCCTCAGGCCATGGACAGGAGCGACCTGGTGCTAGGCGGGTCTCAGGACATCTGAACCTCAATGCTGAGCAAGGAGCAGAGCAGAAACAGGAAATAAATAGGCCACACAACAAGACACACCAGAAGGACATTAATAATCGCAGGGAACTAGGAACAGGACAGAAGTAGAGAGCCCTCTAGGTGTACTGGACGTGACAGGAAGCTCAGGTGAACATGAATTATAGCACATTTTTCATTTCAGTTAACGGTCCTGCATTTTTCGCTACTCTTTCGTTTTGCTGTATGGTGGACATCCTGTTCTGGGTTTTGTGCCTGCTGCGTTACACTCCAGCAGTCCTCTGAGGATAAAGCTTTAAGGGTTAAAAACAGTAACAATCCAGTCACCTGTATGATGTGGTTGTTACTCTACTTTTACCTTAATGGGAATTATAATGTTCTTAATGTTTTCCAACCATGGAGTTGTGATCTATTACAGAAGGTTCAAGCATTAAGTACTGTACCTGTGATTTATGACCACTAGTTTACAAAAATGTGTGTTGCCTTTTTTTTTCACTTGAATGTTTTGGCACACTTAGCGGAATTGAAATCATTAAATCAAAATCACCCCAGTAATTAGTGTGACTTCTTTCAGCACGTTCTGCAGGATTCCTAATTACAGCCACAGTTGTCAATGTAGCATATAGCACTTGGATGATCTGGTATGAAACCTCCAGAGTGAGTTCTGATGCCTGAATGAGACAGACACACAGGGAGGAGTTTATATTCCCATCACGCTGCCTTGGTATAATTGTCACAGTTAATTTTCCATGCCGAGAGGAGAGGCTAAACTGGTATGTTTTCTTCTTTCCAGATGACGGAGGGGCGGCGATGTCAGGTACATCTCCTCGACGACAGGAAGCTAGAACTCCTCGTGCAGGTATTTCAGTGTTGCTTTTTAAGTTGTTTTTTGTGTGTTTTAAATAAAGGAAACGGATTACTGCAAAGAAGGGCAAGTGCCTTGTTTCATTTTCAGTTTTTATGTTGGAATTGCTAGTATCACAGATTTTTCATCTTTTTACTTTGGCAAGTGTTTATAAACTTGACTCAACTGCCCTTTGTACAAGTGAAGGATGGGGACTGCGTAATGTGCTTCAAAATACCCAAAACTGCTGTTTCTATTTACTTCAAGTCCAATGGTGCCCTCATTAAAGTTTGAACTGCCTGTGGCATCAGGCTTCTTTCACTCTTCCTTGCTCATAGATGCCCAGCAGGTCATAGACAATACTATTGCATGGTAGGCAGAAAATAGCTGGGCCAATTCAAGCCCACCTTAGTCTGTGGGAATCAGCCAGTTGGTTGTGCCACCTATTAGTGAATCCTTGTCCTAGTCAGCTAATGAAATGAACCAGCATTGTTTTGTCGATATAACTAAACCCATGTTCTGCTGAGTCTTTAATGCATGATCTGCTCCTTAGACATTCATATAAAGCAGTGCTTCACCAGTCATTGGGCTACTCCGCTTGTGTTTTGCTGCTTAAATCCTGACAAGTCTTTAAATGTAGAAGCCCACGGAATTTACTTGCAAGATGCCAGTCTGAATCCAGTGTTGTCCTTGAAGGCTGCTGGCTGTCTAACATCACACAAAGCCACAAGAGTAACTCCTTTCTCTGAATCTTAATGCGATGAAAATACCTGGAGTCGCTGTTTCTCCTGCAGCTGAGCCTGACACCAGACAGGCTCAAGGCTTGCCCAGAATAGAAAGTATCATCTTCACTTTCAGTGCAGGATTGCTCTCAATGTAGAAGCTTAAAACGTTAAAAATTGTCAGAATTCAGAAAATGATCAGGAATGCTCCAGGCGCACTTTGTTCAGCATATGGATTTGTTCAGCATATATTAATGCACAATAAAATTCAGCATTTTTCAGAGACCTGCTTATCAGCTCATTTAAAGTTATATTTTCTGTGATCAACACTTGTTTAAAACATCAGATTATCTTGGAGTGCTGAAACAAATTCAGAAAAGTATAACAACTATCCCAAGTATGTGTACTGTATTCCTTCTAATGATAATTCCTTACATTTACCTGACAAATTCTATCGGGAGAGTTTTTCCTGTACACTGAGTATTCTTTACAGTTGCCCTGTTCCCTTTTCCTCCTTTACAACTGTGGCCAATTCCACACATCCTGTAGGGTCAAAGCACTGTCTTAGCTCAGCTCAAAATGTTGAGCTCTGCACTTTCCTTATAAGGAAACTAATGTCAAAACCTTTCAACACTGTGTCATTGAAAAGTGTACTGAAGCAGAGATTTCCTGCAGAGTTCAAAGTATCGAGCTTCACAAATGAATGTGCAGTAAACCTTTACATGCAAGTGAAAAAAAATACATCTGTTGTCAGGCATAATGGTCCTGTTACTAATAAAAGGTGAAGAATGATGTTTTGTGCTATGATGTAATCAAACTCAGAGCAGCCTTTGTTTCTCTAAAGTGTTTTTAGTTTAGTCCTCATGATGACTTAATTGTTCAGTTTTCTCAGAGATTAACTGATTATTGCTTTAAGTGATTTGACTACCACGAGGTAGCGCAAAAGTATAGCTTAGGCTGACTTTTCCCAGCGGTAAATTTTTCAGTTTTGCTGAAAGCCATTTAACATGCAGTACTTTTTGTTTTCTTGGGTTGTGAAGTATACATTTTCAACCTGGGTCTGAGTAGAGAGGGATTGTGTTAGTATTCCTTGTTTAATTGTGTAAGGAATACAAAAACAGTTTTCCACCCAACCTTGAAAGTGCGTATGAACTACATAATTTATAAAATAGGGCCAGAAAAAACAATATTTTCTTCCAGGGTACTTCAGGAGAAGAAAATGTGACTCAAAGCCATGTTACTTAATCACAGCTGGGGTGATGTGTGTGAGTTGTGGGAATTGATGGGAATGGCTACCGGCTTTGTGAATTCTGTTGTGCAGAGTCACTAGTTCCTCTTGGATAACCCTAAAAGTATTTTTCCACTGAAAACAGGATATTGCATTTCTGGTTTTTCAAACTTCTTGTATGATGCATCTTGCTTATAAAAGGCTACATCACGAGTTTGGCTTTGCAGTTGTGAAAAGTCAGGAGTGTTAGTTGTAGCAGTGTCACAGTATAGTTGTAGGATCACAGATGCTGCCTCTTTCTGCTTGGTGTCTGACTGTTGAATGTAAAACAGCTGATGTAGGAAAAGAAGGGGCTGATGTTTCTGTTTGGAGGATGCATTCCTAGAAGTGGCTACGTGAAGTGCAGTCTAAACAGTCTGACCGGAGTGCTTATTTTAATGGAGTGAACATATACCATTGCAGCTTTGCCGTCTTCCTGTTGAGTACAGTAGTAAAAACAGTCCACAGAGTGGTGGAGCATCCTACACTTTTATTACAGCACCCTTTACAGGATTGAAATGTTGCATGGCTCCATGTCACATTGGCATGAAACAACGTGTGCAACAGTGAACAGCTTAAATCCCAAAAGTAACATCATCTTTGTTGAGACAGACAAGTTAGCTGTTCCTCTCTCCATGCCTTGCTCAAAAACATGACATGTTGAAGAAGTGGATGTACTGTAGGCATTAAGCAAAAGAATTGTAAGACTCATTTTTTCAGAGTTCAGACTATGATATACTGTAATATGTCAAAAATGTTTTTTATACCGATTTATAAATAAAATGATCTGTATTCCAAAATGCATCAGGATGATATGTGCCGACTTATTTTAATTGCTCTGAAAGAACTCTTGCGGTTTAGAAATGTATCATATTGTATTAGGTGTTGCACTCAGTCTCCATTCCTTCAAATGCATTGATGTGTAGACCCAGAAAGAGTGAATAGTTTTAAAGGTTTATTCAAATGTACACAGGACTGTAATACAGAAACTTGTTTGTTGTGATCATTCCAATGTACTGATTAAAGAACCTTTAATAACTGTTCAAATGAACATTAAAATGTAAAAGGAGCTCTTTCGTACGGAAAATATGAAAAGGTTTCTTGATTGGTTGTGGACCACTTACTGTATAAAAATTTTAGAATACTATTAAAATTCAGAAAAGAGAGGAGTCATTCTATGTTCAATTACATGAGGTGTATATGTCAAAATATAGACTGTACTAATAATGTACATATCTATACTTGACAGAAATATTTAGTGTTTAATTTTTATCTCATTAGAGTCACTAGGGTGATCTAGATCCAGTACTCATTACTGGAGAACATTAACCACAAAATATCAACATAACACATTTGGTATATTAAGTATATGCAAAGAGTGAGAGAGACCGACATTTAAGAAAACTTTGAACAGAGTGTTAAATATGGATCTTTCTTTCTCTGGCAGCTGTTGTATCAGAGTAGTTGCTATAATTCTTGGAAGGGTTATCAAAGTCACCTTTCTTACTTAAGAAGTTGATGGCTTAACATGACAGGCACTGAGGAGGTTGTGTGTTGTGGTTTTGAAAGTTGTAGTTCTTTTTTTCCATTGTGGTATTCACCTGCCTGAAGCAGACTGATTTGTGGTCTTCTTTCCATGAAGGCTCTGTTTAAGGGCTTAGTATTTAATCTAAAATAAAAGGCACTGTAATTGTTAGCTAAGGGAAGGGCTGTCACTGCATTAAACTTGGTGCAGCTCCCAAAACAGATGTAATCTCTCAAAACAGAAATAATTATTTTCTTGCCCATGCATCTTGTGGATCTGAATTTTTAACTGTTCAGATTATGTCTGTGGTGTCTCTCTTACTAGCCAACTGTAACTGCACGAAGTTGTTCTTTGAATCTGACTTATTATAGGCTTATAATGTTCTCTTAGAAGTGTTTTAAATGCTAATGCTTGTTTCTAATTGCTAAGGAGTATTCAGTATATTTAGTATAATACTGTATCATAATACCCGTTTATGATAATTCGCTTACACCACCTTTGTTCTTGTTTTACTCTGTTGTTTGTGGGTTAGAATGTATCTGGCAACTTTGTAGATAATGAAATGGGTCCTAGTCTTGACTGATTTTGTGCATTCGGTATTGATGTTAAAAGTTGTACTTGAGCTACACTCCAATCTTCAACAAAAAGAATGACAATACTATTAAAGAATAATTAAGAATCTTAAGTAAACATAAATAATGTCCTCCAATGTGATACATTTGTTCATGACCTTCCAAAATATTCATGCTCATGACTTGGGCTTAAAAGCCGTGTTGTTTAAATTTTTTTTTATTATTTGACTCCTATAAAACTTATATATTATATTTTCTTCTGTACCTTTAATTTGGACACAGGGAGCATCTGAATCTTCTTGCAAGTGTGGTCAGTTTTGTGTCGTGTTTTATTTTTGTGCTTTGATTTGTAACTTTGTGCATCAACTTTATTGTGCATGCTTTAGTTTTGTGGGTCTACTCACTGAGTATTGTGTAGGAGCATATATGTCCATTTAATATATCCTGAGGGTTTATACAGCTGTATTTTTCCAACAAAATCATATAATTAAATATGTTTACTTGTATGAATGTGTCAGCCATAGATCAATAGTATCTATGGTGTAGGACACACAATGTACTCATCTTTTCTGTGTTTTTTTTTAATTCCTTTGAGATTTTAGACAAGCTTGCAATCATTAGATGTATGGTCAGTAATAATAGGGAAGTAATTCTTTCTTTAGACCATGAGTACGCACTTTTCCTGGATGAACAGCTTGCTCAGTGAAGGACTAAATGCTTTTTATGGGAACTGTGCTCATTGCCCATATGGGACAAAGACAGTCTTTGAAACCATTAGTAATAATATTAACGGTACTTAACTGATGAAACCACTTAAAAAGAGTAAAACTGTGTATTGTGACCGATGGGCTGTCACATAGCAATCTTTCATGCATCTTTATTTAATAGGCATGTGCTCGTTAGCAAGATACGGTTTCAGAAGCATTAAC